CCCCTCTGTTTTTTTTTTTTTCACTTATTTTTTTTATTTTTAAATAAATAAATAATTCCATGAAAATAGTTTATTAGCTAAGCCTGGCTGCTACTGCTTCTTTATTGGGGGGGAAAAAATGTAATGATATCTTTTTCAGAAAGTTTCTGTCAATAAACTAATGAGCAAACAAATCCTATAATTTGCACAATATTTTCAAATCACATATATATATCAAAAGAAGAAAGAAACATGCATAAGGGAACTCAAGCTTATAACCACCTCACCATAATTGGATTAGCAAACGATTTCAAGACAGGACCTCTAATATCTCAGCGCCTAATTATAGAAACTTAACTAAACCAGTAGCAACTCATTAGTCAGAGCTTTCTTCTACAGTGATTACATTTAAAATAATTCAACAGGATATCTAAATATAATTTCATTTTTCCCCAAATCATCTCAATGTAAGATGTTCCAATTCTACATCCAGTGGGGCACAAGAGGCAGTAGACTGGCTCACCGAACGGCATAGCCTCTTAGGCCGTTGACTAACTGGGACCAAGCAACGGAAAGGAGAAGCCGTTGGTGATGTGGACGAGTATGAGCTCTGGCTTGATGGCGAGCCAGGAAAACATAGATTGCGCGGATCATGAAGGCTCGTTATTGATCTCCTTATCTGGTGGTTGCTGAGTAGCATGGACGAGATCGACTCCGCCATTGCTCGTTGCTTGGTTGCGTCATCTACGTATAGAAGATCATCGATTCTTGCAGTTATGTTGAAAGCTAAGCTCTCAAGAACTCTTGAATAGCTCTCGAGGATCGAATGCCCCACATCCTGAGATTTTATGGATGAGGCCAAAGGTAAAAAAGTATATTAGCAAGATATATGATGAATTAGTTAAAGCTTTTTACTAATTGCCCCTGATGGCAAGTACAGACCTCGAGGGATATTTGAAATATTGGCAGATTGGGAGCTATTTGTGAATAGTTTTTGTAAGAGCCTAGAAAATATGCAAATAAGTGAAGCTAATGTAATGCACCTTGTTATACTGAATCTTGTTCATGTCCAGAGAGGTCTGAGGGAGGCCGGGAAAGTGCAACTTTAAGTTCTTCAAGAGTGTTTCTGCTCGATGTGCGTAGAGTTTACACTTTTCAGAATCGCTAACCAAGCCCTTCACAGTGGTTTCCCAAAATGAAGCCGATCTCGAGTGACATGGTTTCTTCTTTTGATATTTTGATCTCCAGAAATGCAGGGCGCTTTCTATCCTATTTGCTATTTCCAAAGTACTGTATTCGGACGACAGGTCCAGGTAATCGAGAAGACAGTCAGGGGAGAACTGATCAGCGGTTATGTAGCGATGGAGGACATCACCTAAACAAGCCTTCTCACTCTGGTAAAACAGACTATATACTTCAGGATATAAAAAACAGCTGTTCATGAATAAAAGAAATATACGAGAAACAGGATACATATAAATGATTTTGCACAATCATAATTTCAGTCCCATATTATTTGGGGTTTGGCTAGTTTTAGTCCATGGCGGTTTTGGTCCTTGACAATTTTGTCCGGCGCTCAAGATGGCAATTTCAGTCCTAAGTCTCATATGGCTTGGTATCTAACGGCATTTCAGGAATTAAGAAGGATACGAATAAAACAGCCATTCCGTAAGATATTTGCTCCTCCTTGGACGTCACAGGATCAAAACTACACAGAATTCTAACTTAAGGCTAAAATCGCAATTGACAGCACAAAAATGTTAAAGCCCCTTCTAACAACTCGATTCATCATCACGAAATTCTCATACCTTGGGCAAGCTGTCTAAGTAAACCTGCGGCACCTCCATCTCCGAGAGCACACTGTTGTTGATGGCCACGGCCGCCTTGAAAATCTGCTGCGTACACTCCCTGCACTGCCGCAGATGCTTTCTTGTCTTCTCCGACAAGCCTCTTGCCGGGACTTTCGGGAACGGCAACCACCACTTCTCCTCCAGGGCTGCCGAAGGCCACCCTGCGGAAGACGGAGAAGGCGGAAGATATGCCTCGGCTTTGTCCCCATTGGAAACGACTACGCTTCGGTCGACATAGTAAAACTCGGATTGTCGAAACCCTTCCAAGATGCTCATCAGCATCCCGTCGAGTTTCTTGAGAGCCGGGAGATTCGTGTACAGGTCAGATCTCTGCCGGGTCACCATGATCTCGAAGCTCGAGCTGCCTGGGAAGTCTTGCACGGATGGGACGAGCTCGACTATGGAGTCGCTCACGCAAAGGAGCCACTCCATCTCACGATGCCACATGGATCTTTTCGGTGGGGAGAGCGGCTCAAGCTTCCAGAGGTCTCCAAAGACGCTGGCTGAGGTGGATGACATAAGCAAGATTTACAAACAACTTGGGGAATGAGAAGTTCATACGCGTGTTAGTGTATTGTGATGTTATAACTTATAAGTACCTGCAAGATTGGTGATGGCATTGGAGATTGCGAGGGCAGTACTTACTCCCTTGCCTCCACCGGACATGTCCTCTCCCAGCAGTAATTTCGCGAATCGTTCTTTCATCATTTCAGCTTCTGCACAGGCACACAAGCCATAACCTCATCAGAAAGAATAAATCAGATATGAAGATTAATGAATATTTGTTCTCTGTTTCTGGAGAACAGCAGAGAGACCATTCAACTTAAGAATCCCAGCGTCCAATCATTCCTTCAACTCAGTGAACCAACTAGTGAGTGATGAAAGGTGGTTACAAGTAAATAGAACATACGAAAGTAGAATTGTTTTTCAGTCATAGCCTATTGATGTCTTCAGCATTTTTGGAATCATGCTGCTTGTTTTTTCAGGTGAATTTCCTTTTCCGTGTGAACAATTTACTTAATTATGGTAAACAACAGTGTACGGCCACCAATTGACAACTAATTTTTTACAAAACGCTACAAGATAAAGTCGAAATCAATTCAATCTCACAAAAAGTCCAAAGTAACGTTTGTTGCGCAGTCGGAAATTGAAGACGAGAAACTCACCGGTCAGCTCAGGCGGCTCGGGCATATCTCGGTCCAGCTTCTCCCCCGGGAAGACGACGTGTCTGCCCCCAACAACCGGCAGCATAATCGGCGGCGGCGGCAAGCTGTCGGAGCTGGAAGCTATATCCAACGGGGACGACGCCGTGCCGGCTGACTCCAACCTGCGGTCGGAGGAGAAGGTGGCGCCACTCGAGGTGGAGCTCTCGGACTCGCTGACGTCGGCGCTCTGGCTGTAGCCGTCGTCAAAACGGCGCGACTCGAGATCCTCGAATTCGTAATCGGACTGCGTAACTAATGTGTTATCCATCATCTCCAAAAACTGTAAACTCCTCTCTGAGAAATTAAACAAAAAACAAACCAGAAAAAGATCAATAAATTACTCCGGTGCACACCAAAAGCTCCAACGGCACAATTTCAAACGTAAACTGGATCGTATGATGATGGAAGCTGAAAAGCTAATTGTGCGTGTTTGTCTGTGTGTGTGTGAGTGAGAGAGAGAGAGAGGAATGATTGAGAGGGAAAAGTAGAGAATCAAAGGGAAATGAGGAAACAATAAAGAAAAAGTGTGACTGTGTGATATAAAGGTGTCTAGTGTGGGATTAAGAGAGTGATGATTGTTGGTAGATATTCAATTCTATTATTACTATTTTATTTTATTCTCAACTGTGTGTTTGTGTGCGGTTCCCACAGTGATGATTGTAGAGAAAAAGTTGGTACGGTGACACCGCCATATGGTGGTGGCACTGCCTCTCATGCCTCGGTGTTCCGACGTGTATTTAGCGCGCTTTGAAAATTCTTGTATGTTATTATAATCCATTAATAAAAGTTAAACCTTAATTGCCATGTTTTGAAGATGCATCACCTTCCAATCTAAAAATAATTAAGTTTGGATTATCCATAAATATATTCGTTTTATGAACATGTTACATGTATTAATTGCATTTTAATATCATTTCTTATTATAACCATTGAATTGTAAATTTATTTTAAAAGTGAATAACTTTTGTATTTTTTATCAGTTTTACATATACAATATATCAAATTAATCTATCAAATTAATCATCTCTTCGAAGATTGAGAAATTTCAGAACTGTACCAAAGTTCAGAGATCACTATATTCGATCTTTGGAACCGTACCAAAAATTTGAGATGGTTCGGTTCGGAGATTTTTATTTTTCGATTTGATATTCGAGACTATCGGAACAGTTCGATTCGGTATGGTTCAGTTCGGATCTTTGGAGATTTCATATTTTTATAAAAACATTTTGAATGAATACCTAGTTATATTTAAAATTTTATATGCTTAAAAAAAAACATTCATCAATACTAAGCATGAAATTTATGTAAAGTTTAATTGTTATTACTATATTTTTTGCATTTTAAAAATTCTCAAATTATATAGAATCAAAATTGACATTAAATATATTAATAACACATATCTAATGTTATAATTTGGTTCTTAATTTCGGTTCTTTGGTTCGGTACGGTATGAGACGGTTCAGTTCGTTTTTCGGTACGGATATTTGTGAAATCTTCATAAACGTACCAATTATTTTTTCGGTTTGGAAAAAGTCAAATGGTCAACGATTATTTTTCAGTTCGACTTTCGAAACGATTCGGAATTCTCCAAGTCCCCTGCTCAGCCCTAGGGCTAAGCATGAACTTCGCAGAATTATGGACCGAAAACGAAATCTCTCCAAACGCAAAAACAAAAGTTGATTATTTGATTTTCTTCAAACCATAAAATAATACGGTTCTAAAGACTTCATAAATAACCGTACTAAGAATCAAACCGAACTATCTCAAATCGTACCGAAGAGAAGAATCGAAATTAACAATTGAATTATGACATTAGATGTTTGTTGTTCATATATTTTGTGTTAATTTTAATCCTATATAATTTGACTATTCTTTAAATACTAAATAACATATAGTTATAACAATTGAACTTCACTTAAATTTCGCTCAATAATACTTGATTTACAATTGGAATTGCATTATGTTTTAAAAAATTATTTAAAATTGTATGTAAGGTTAAAGAAATATTAAAACTATTAAACTTCACTAAATTTGTTGATATCTTTCTTAGTCTTATTCTATCTTATAAATAATATAATATGGTTTGAAAGGTTAAAGAAATATTGTTTCAGTAAAATATATATTAAATTTTGTTTGAATTTCAAATTTCTATTGTCAGTTGCACAAATTTAGTCTATGGCTATGTTTGGTAAAACTAGCTGATAACTGATAAACTAGCTTATAGCTTATTTGTAGTTTTTTAGCTTATAGCTTATGACTTATAGCTGAAAAACTAGCTTATATAATAAAAGTGTTTGGTAAAATTAGCTGATAAGCTAGCTGAAATAAAAAATTCAACTAGCTTATTTGAAAAGCTACCTAAAGTAGCTTATGAGATAAGCTCGAGCTTTGTAAAAAAGCTCGTCCTACCAAACGAGACTTATTTGAATATAGGGAGCTTATAAGCTAACCAGATAAGCTATAAGCTAGCTTATTTGAGTTAATTACTTCTAAAGGTAAATTCAAATAAAATCTTTAATATGGTAAAGAATTTAGAAAATAACTAAAACTTTTCAGAGCTCTGAACCGAACCAAACCAAACCAAATCGTTTCAATAGTCTCGAATATCAAATCGAACTGAAAAATAAAAATCACCTAACTGAATCATCCCCACGACTCAAGATATTGATTTTCAGCGATTTTCAAATTTCAATACGGTTCCGAAGACTTTTAAATAAACCATATTAACAAAAATATGAACTATATTAACAAAATTATGTTATATTCTAAATGAACTATAGTAACAAAATTATGTTATTTCATAACATGAGTATGTATTATTGTTATAAAAGTATGAAAACCAACCCGCTTAATAATTAAGTCGCTTCACACAAAAATGCGTGTATTTTATATTTTATTGGATTTCTTTTTCCTAATTATATAGATTGCAGTCTTGTAACTTTAGAAGTGCTAAATCAGAATGAATCTAAATCGCGTGTCTTTATTTGGAGGATAACTTTACTAACATTGTCATTAAGTAACATAGGTTAGTCAATGAGTAAGTATGATTTACTAGGACGCACGCTACATCCATTTATAGATAGAGCTTAATTCAGGTCAAGCATATAAAGACATATTACAGTATTCAGACCGACTTATCAAAAAAAGGCCTTAATTTTAATATTTGAAAAATCTAAAACCATAGTATTCATTTTACCAAAATTATTAATAATTAACATCAATGTAAAGACAAACATTATTAATATACCTAGAAAGAGAAATCATGATATTCCACTTCTGCAAAATCAGAATAGGACATTTGTTTCTCACTTTGATTATCTTAATTCAGGTCAAGCATTAAAGACAGATTAAATTATCCAGACCGGCTTATACAAAAAAAGCCTTAATTTTAATATTTGAGAATACTAAAACCATAATATTCATTTTACCAAATTTATTAATAATTAACATCAAATTACGCGGGTGTTGAATTAGAAAGCTTTTGTGAAAAATATCAAATTTTTTTATTTTTTTAAAAACTAAAATAATTTAATTTTATATAAAACATTACTTTTAGTTTTAATTAAATTGTTAAATTATATTTTTTTAATCATAATAATTAAACACCCTTACATTAAATGAAAATGTCAACCCATGTTGAATTTTTTTTACTTATATCATATAAAAATATCTATATTATTTTCTATTACATAAGTATAAAAATATATATCTTAAATAAATAGAAATAATATGGTGATATGTATATACATAAGTGTAAAATATGTTTATTTAATATTAGGTAAAATAGATTAATTTTGTTACTTAATTAGATGCCTAATACATCAAGTGTCGTATCAATCGTGCTTCACAATTTTTTAACTTTATATGTAATTTTAGAATTTATATATATAATTATTTATTTTTATTACATTGACAACATACAAATTAGATTTGAAATAAATATTATTTTTAAAAGAATACATACCAATTTCTATTACTTTATAATATAATTTATAGTTTTATTTGATACAATTTAATTTAGTATGATCAATAAATTTAAATTTTATTTAGAAAGATATATATTACTGTTTTGTATTATATATATATATATATATATATAGTAAACTACAAACGAACTTCATAATATCAATTCAAATGCAACACACTAATTAAGATTTTTTTTATTGACAATATTAACCCTATTTAATGGATGTTATGGGATGGGATATAAAGAGATACTGTGTATTAGATGGAGGGTTAAAAATAGAAAAATAAGAACAAAATATCTAAAACGACATTTATTTTATCAATGATCATTTAAGACAAAGTGACAAATAATAAAATAAAAAAGAGTATATATTATTATATATTTTATTATGACACATGTTATTTGTGCGACTTATTTGTGTTATATTATAATAAATTTTCTACCTTATAATATATAACTACATTAAACATAAATATATTAATTGATAAATAATTTTATTTTTTAATTAATTTTAATAAATAATTTTATTATTATTATAAAGATAAATATAATTTATTTATTTTATACATACAATATATATATCGAATCGAAGCTCATCAAAAGATGATTAATTTGATATATTAAATATGTAAAACCGATAAGAAATACAAAAGTTATCAACTTTTAAAATATATTTTCAATTTAATGGTTATAATAGGAAATGATATTAAAATTAAAATACAATTAATACAAATATTAATTTATATTTAAGCCTAACTCCAAAGCATTATTTTTTTTCAATTAGAATTTCGAAACTATATATAGAGGAGATATCAAGACTAACATTATTAATATACCTAGAAAGAGAAATCATGATATTCCACTTCTACAAAATCAGAATAGGACTTATTTTTTGTTTTTATGTTTGTGGTCGAATTATGAGGTACTTTTTTTCGCGTCACACAAGTGGAAATTTTTTAAAAAATTCTCCTAACAAATACTTAAGAAATTAAAAGTTGCTACTGACAACCAATATAGATATAAATGAAAACAAATCAATACATCATAAAAAAATGTGTTAGACAATATTATACTACCTTCTATTCTTTTTAAATATCATTTTGGTTTTATCAATCATTCACCAAATAAATGACGTTTTGGATCATTTATACATGTTTTTCCATTATTACTCTCATTTAAGTAATAGATACACCACGTATTTTCATATTCACTCTTCATTTTATCTCAAAACGTCCATTTTTATCTTCATTAATGAGGGTTATTATTGACAAAAAATATTCTTAATTACTTTACAATTTTTTAAAACGACACTTATTATAAATAAGAGAGAGTATTATATAATTATATGAAAATTTTATGGGTCCAACAAATGTACTGGAAAAATGTTAACAATAAATGAGGGAGAATTTGCAACCATTACTCATTTTGTGTTTGTTTAGCATGACTTCATGTTTTCACCCACCTGCACAGGCACTAGTCAAATATTAAATTACCTCATCAAGATTTTGAATAATAGCATATGGTTTGATGCAATGTAACTGGGCGCAATACACCAAGTGTAAATGATCACCAATATTTTAGCCATTTGAATTCGATTCTGTTGCACTACCTTAATTACTTGGCCAAATGTCATGAATGAGCTTAAAAGCATTCACTGAGGTTTGTTGAACATGTTTATGAACTCTAATAAATAAAATAGATGAAATTTAATAATTTAGAAATGAATCCTGCTTGGCAGCAATAACTGAAGTGGTTGTTTTTGGATTTGTTGTTTATCATTTGGCGTAAAGCATTAGAGTGAAAAAAGTATAAAATCCATATATATCTAGAAGGTTTCGGCTGTGCACCACTCAACCGATCGTAATTTGATTTTTATTTACTCTTAACTCTATTAATTAATCGATTATTATTAGCTATAATTTTGTAAAATCCATATAATTTTTTTCTGACAAAGTCAGAAGAAAAAAAAAAAACCCTACCAATGACGTGGCCTCGAGCTTGGAGTCCTTGAACAATTATTGCGTCCACACAGAAATCATCACCTTTCCTAGCCTCTTCTATACTCCCGAAGTTGAAGAGAATATTATTTGAATCATAATTAACATTCTAGAAAAATATAAATCAGAATTTGTCACCTTAGAAACCCAGTTTATATTAAAAATGTCTTCTGTAAAAGCAGGCTGAAGTTACTGGCAACAACACTAAGCGAAGTTTACTGGCTCCACATTCAAAACACGATGATCCCATTTCTGTAATATCAAACAAAAATAAAGAGTTGGTTGATGCTTTAACAACAAATTGCATCATATCATCTCCAAGAGTTCCCTTATTTTAGACTTCTATTTGGAGAAATAAGGAGCCATCCTATATCCATTTGCTTCCTATTTTCTGCTGTCCTCCAAGAGTCTCCCTATTTTATAATTTGAATTTGAACCAGGCCCACAAATCTATTTAAAAGCCCACTTGAACTTGGACTTTTCGCCTCAACTATATTAAACAGGCCGCCAACGATCAGACTTCACGATCCCAGGGAGGCGACCGGTCATCTACGACTCTACGAGTGCTCGGCGCCGCACGTCAGGCCAGGGAGGCGACCGGTCATATTAGGAAAACATTGAGAATTTTGCCCTCCGACGGTGCTATCATCAGCCATGGATTGTAGCTTGATTATGCGCATCTTGGATGAAACATCCTCTGACGACGACGACGAATGCATCGTTGTTACAGAAGCACTTCATGAAGTATATGAATCTCTGAATGCACCGGTTCATGTTGGTTCTGTACTAGGGCATAAAGTTATTGATCGTGAAAGACATGCAGGGTTTTTGCGATTATTCAAAGATTACTTTGCAGATGAACCTACATATGGGCCTGATATTTTCCGTCGCAGGTTTGCATTTAGCTAATTATAAACATTCAAATTATAACACATATTTTCCGTCGCAGGTTTGCATTTGGCCACAATGTATATAATGATTTTTTTTGTTAAACGCGCAGATTTAGAATGGAGAAACATGTTTTTCTATGCATACTGAGGGAAGTCGTAAAACATGATAAATTTTTTGAGCAGAAGAGAAATGCAGCGGGTATACTCGGATTGTCCCCTTTGCAAAAGGTTACTGCAGCATTCCGTACGATAGCATATGGAGTAGCCGCGGATGCAATTGATGATTAATGTAGACTTGGTGAAAGTACTGCTCTCGAGAGTTTGAGAAGGTTTGTGAAAGCCGTTTGTGAAGTTTTTGGTGAGGAATACTTAAGATATCCAACTGTCAATGATACCGCCAGATTACTTGCCATTAATGAAAAAAGAGGATTTCCGGGTATGTTAGCCTCTCTAGATTGCATGCACTGGAGGTGGAAGAATTGCCCTTATGCATGGCAAGGAATGTACTGTGGCCATGTGCGAGAGCCAACAATTATTCTGGAAGCTGTGGCCTCGAAAGATCTTTGGATTTGGCATGCTTTCTTTGGTTTACCGGGGTCTCATAATGATATGAATGTGCTTCAACGGTCTCCACTCTTTGCCAAGCTTGCTGAAGGTGAAGCTCCGAAGGTGAACTACACAGTCAATGGTCACAACTATACAATGGCATATTACCTTGCAGATGGTATTTATCCTCGATGGGCAACGTTGGTCAAGACCATAGAGAGACCACAGGGCAATAAAAAAAAATATTTCGCAACCGCACAAGAGGCAGCTAGAAAGGATGTGGAGCGAGTATTTGGTGTTTTGCAAGCTTGCTTTGCTATTGTTCGTGGGCCAGCTCGGATGTGGGATGAAGAGACACTAGGATATATCATGAAGGCTTGTGTCATCATGCACAACATGATTATTGAAGATGAGAATGTGGAAGATCCTGACTGCAATTATGAGAATGTTGGAGATAAGGTACAACCGTCCCATGATCCTTCATCTGAGCTTGTTGATTATATTGAAAACCTCAGAAAAATTCAAGATAAAGAAATTCACTCGCAGCTACAAGATGATTTGGTGGAGCATCTTTGGCAGAACCATCCCGATCTTTATAGTAGAGGTTGATATGTGCATTGCCACAACAACTCGATCACATATTTATGGCTTAGATATAAGAACAGATTTTATTAGATATATTGTTATTAGATATAGTGTTATTTAGATATATTGTTATTTAGATCAATTAATTATTTCAGTCTTTACTGGTTTTGCTCCGATTTATGTACATGGAAATGCTTACATTTCGCTACTACTTTGTTTATTTGATTTATGTGAGCTAATGATCTCATACGGCCTTTGGTCTATTTTGAGGCGCCTTGTGGATTTCTGACACTATTTTATCATGTATTGGTGCTTAGCGGCAGAGTTTGTTTTTACCTAGTGTAGTATTTTGGTTTTTCTTCTAGCGTGCTTGATATAGAAGTATATTTCGTATAATCATCTACTCAGGTGGTTTCTTTCATATTTTTGGATATTGCATGGTTCTGTGTGCAAAAATCTATGTGCTGTTATGATAGTTTTATCAGATGAGCACCTCTTTGTTCAATTTATTGAGACTGTGTGGGATTACTTAATGAATTCACTCATTGATTGTTGATTTTGTCTGTAGAACTCGTGCTTAACAAAATCTGAAGGAGTTGCTTTGACACTGTCATGTAGCATCTGCATGAATTTTGTTTATGGTTTCAGTGCACAGTGCTTGCAACAACTATGAGTTTGATTCCTTTCCGTTGGTTTTAATGATTTTCTTTTTCTGTATAGTCCTCTTAATGCGAGCAGTAGTGCGTATAATTTGTTTGTTGATTGAGACTTCAGATGAATTAACAGTAAAAACTATGATCAATCATTGAGCCACAACAGCAGCAAGTCACAAGGATGAATTAACCATACGAAATCTTGACACATTGAGACTTAAGATATAAAATGGGAAATAGTTCACATATTCCTAAATAGATGCTATGATAAGAACATCATCTCTGAACGAGACACTAGCATTCTTCTCCATCCTTCATTCAAAAGCAAACATTATCTCTCAACCTGAGGCATGGAACGAGCAGCGATCTCCTTCTGGCGGTTACTGAAGTAAATTTGCTGATCGTATGTCAATGCAGTAAGATCCATGCTCATGATCTTGTCTTCCTTGTTGGTTATATTGAACTCAACCTGCTTCTTCTTCAGTGCAATTCGTTCTTGTTCTAGTGCAAAAGCTTCTTTATACCTCTCCTCTTTCTTTCGCTCTTTTTCAGCTTCATACTCTTGTTTCTTGGCCCAAAATGAAGCTAAAGCATCATTGTACGCACGATCTCCACCTTTACGTAGTGATTCTTTTGCCCTCTTCTTACCCACTGGTCTCTTTGGAACTTCATCATCATTACCTGCAGCCTCTTCATCATCTACATGCTTGCTGGTAGAATCACCTGGAGTTGCATCTTCAACAGCCTTCTGTTTTTATTGAGATGACTTCTCTTTGGAAGCTTGCTGCTGTAACCACTTGGGGTGATTACGCAATATGGACCAGCAATGAAGGAATTTAAACTCCTTTTTTTCTTGTGACTCGAACAAAGTTTTTGCTTCCACAAGCTGTACATAGATGAACAACATCAACATTTCCAATATAGACAAGCAAAGAGTTAGCATTGTGATAATGAGCAAACATTTACATTGATTCACTTACTCTTTGCTCAATTGTCGTTCCACTTTGCTTCCTAGCCTCGAGCTGGGCAATACATCCTACGAACTTGTTAACATGCTCTTGAATAACACTCCAACGATGCATTAGAGAGTTCGCATTGCGACTAGAGGAGAAGTCTTTGTTCTCGTGGAAGTAAGCATGAATCCTATTCCAGTATGTGGTCCTTTTCTGATTGTTGCCTTGCACCGGGTCCATACTAATGTTAAGCCATGAATCCACCAATAATACATCCTCATTCTTCTCAAATTTTTTCGTTCTCCCTTTGTTTCCTTGCAAATTTGGTGACAGTTCTTCCTCGGGACTGTTACTCATTCCATCCACTTGATGTCCCTCTAATCCATCATTCAACAGGTTGGTGTAATATCCATTGAGTTCAACATAGCCTGTACCAAATACAATGCCGATCAGACAAGCACATCAAAAGTACTGTTCAGCAAACACAACAATTATCTTTAACAAATGAATTATCTGCAGGGAAAAATCAAGAGCCAGCAATCAACAAATGAAATTCTGGAAATGTAAAATGACAAGAATTATCAAGTGGTAACTGATTAATTATCTTTAAGCTTCACACTAACTACAAAACAAAGAATCACAGAAAGCACAGAATGATTTGTAACTATATAGAGCTTCAAATCTAGAATCCCATTTGATACTAAACACAAAGATATGTATAGAGCTTCACTTTCGGGTTTTTTGCTCGACTTCTTTCCCCTTTTCTAACAGAAAGCACTGACCTTTACTTGTCAATTATCAAAAAAAGAAAAAAATCCAAGTCAATATATCAACAACCCTTCAAAGATATCCCATCAAACAAAAGGCATGAGCAAATTGACATGCAGCTTTGTGTAGAATGTACTATTCACATCGAATTTGTTTATGGGACCCCAATTTCTTGTGACCCTTTTCGCCGCAGGGAATTCATACGAAAAATGGGCGTGGGCAGAAACTAGAGAGATGGAATCAAAAGTGCAGAAAAAGGAGGACGGCAGTACCTTCCATCTGGTAGTGGCGGCACCTTTCCGGCGGCGAGGATGCTGCGAGCACGCGGCAATGGAGGGGGAGATGAAAGGAGATGGAGGAAAAGACCGCGCGAATAAAAAAAAAAAAGAGCGCCTATGGAAAATAAAGGCGGGGAGAAGAAATGGGGGGTCTTTTTTGGCTCGCCAAGAATGAGGAAGAGAAGCCTCTATTTGAGGACTTCTTAAAAATAGGACCAAATTTAGGGAACTGTTGGAGACAACTTTTTAGAAAAAAACCCTATTTTTGAGATAAGAAAGATGAATAAGGAGACTCTTGGAGATGCTCTATGTATGCTACCTCAACAAGTGCAAAGAGATTTTGACCCATGAACTCTTCCAAATAATGGTCAACCATTTACAAAAAATATATTGAGTGAACATAGAGTTTGGCAGATTCTCTACATTAAATTTATAAACAGAAACCAACTTAATACATTTGTCTGATTCGCACAGTTGATTGCTGAAGATAAACTGTCAAGCACAACACGCCCCAATTGCCCGAATAAGGATTTTTTTCAGAAAATTGGGGTTGAATAGTGTTTGAATCTTAATACAGATTCAAAATCACATTCGAATGCATCAATTAGCAATCAAACGGTAAAAGTTCGGCAACAATAAAAACTACAATGCTTGTTTCAGTTGTGCTATATCAAACCCATATTTAAGCAGTGTCTTGACCTCATATACACCTCTATTTTTTTTTTAAAAAAAAAAATTACATAGGACGGCATTTTGGCTTAAGAGAAATATCAGAGTTTAATGAGTGAGTTGAAACTATACATGTTGTAAAAGAGGGACTTGATTGTTAATGAGAGACTTGAAATATCACGATTTTTAATGAGTGACTTGAAAATCATGTGATACCACTTGAGCCATTAACTTCAAAATCTTCAGCTCTGGAAAGGAAAATCACCCATTAATATGAAATTATTCATCGAAACCTCACAGCAGAACCTCAAATTAATACACCACTAAAAATATCATATCCGAAACACTTTAATTTCAGCAATCTAATTTCAAATCTCGATATGATCATTGCATAACTAAACAATCTAACAGAATATTACAGAGCAAAAATTAGTCAGGCAGAAAATAGTTAAGCGAAAAAAGTGAGATTAAGAAAAAGAATTCAAAATCGAATGAAGACGTCATATGAATACCTGACTTATTCTACGGCAAGCATCGATAATATGTCTTACCCAATAATTTTTCATAAAAATATGCAATAGATAAAGGAGACTTATGGTTCGTATATTGTTAAGTGGCACGCCTCTCTTTTGGGCTGCCAAGTTCGTTTCTAATGCTAGTGAAGTTTTAATCTTCAGGTCCTATAAAGTATTATTTATGTTTCTTGTCCAGAGACGTCAATGCAGCCGCAAGCCTCCGCCTTCCATCGCTGGTTACCACCATCTCAAACAAAGCCCGCCACTCGTGAGCCGCCGTCGAGGTCTTTTGCAGTTTACACCCAAAAAGCTTGTTCAAACCATTACAAGCGATTAAAATAAAGA